TTTCGAAGTCCATGAAGTCCTTGCTCCAAAGACCAAGGAGTTTGTGTCTCAAAATTTATGAAATCCTAACCTCAAAATCCAAGGATTCCTTGTTTCGAAGTCTATGAAGTCCTTGCTTTAAAGTTCAAGAAGTTTGTGTCTCAAAATTCAGGTAATCCTAACCTCAAAATCCAAAGAGTCCTTGTTTCTAAACTGTTGGAGTCCTAACCTCAAAATCCAAGGAGTCCTTGTTTCGAAGTCCATGAAGTCCTTGCTTTAAAGTCCAAGGAGCTTGTGTCTCAAACTTCAGGTAATCCTAACCTGAAAATCCAAAGAGATCTGGACTCAATGTCCATTATGGACATAATGGACCTTAAAGTACATGGAATCCTAATTTCGAAGTCCAAAGAGTCCTAGTCTCAAAATTCACGAAATCCTTGCTTCAAAGTCCATAAAGTCTTTAACTGACAGACCATAAGTTGCTTCTCTTCATATTTCTCAACGTGTGAACTTCTCAGTTCTTTCAAAACTAAACTGTCCTCTTTGTCCTTATTATGTGTAATTCGAATCTTATCTACCATTCACCTTGAGTTTCATTCAGTCCTTATTTCCTGACTCCTCCAATTCCCCAGCATTTACTTTTCTCATGCATTGTATTTAAATATTTCTAAAACACTTCCTAGTTCCATTAATACTTTTTTGGTGCTTCATTTAAATTCATTGGCTTCTCTTGGTTTTCACGTAAGCGGTTTCCTGGTGTTGCTTGCTTTTTTACTTTATACATCTTTCATGAGTTGCTTATTTCTATCTTGAGTCCTTGAGCGGACCTTCCTTGATCTAGACAATATTCAAGAGACATCCTTCGTTTTGCATTCAAGTGTTATCATGGTTTCAAGGTTTTTTTCTTTAAACATTTCCATCTCAAGTTTTACAATTGTTCAAATGTTAAATTAAGAACACTGAGGCTTCTAACAGTGATTTTAATTATTATAATTTTTATAAAATCTCGAAAAATCATGTTTGCAATTTCATTCGTTGGATAATTCCTGGGTTAACAAAGATAAAATTCATATGCATTTTCACGCCTCAGATATATTCCCTAATTATACATTCATTACATTTGTTTTCACGTGCATAAATATTCTACAATCTGTCTGTCCACAATTTCCAGTTTTGCCAAAAACATGTTCGCAAAAAGATGGCTCCAACATCAGCACAGATAGCATGGAATTTGACTTCCGTTGAAATGGTTGTGCATTCTACAACATGGGACAGCAGTCCACCCCTTGATTAACGTAGAGTGGGTGCTGCAAAATGCAGGCTGTAATTCGAGAAGCTTGCCTCAGTGTGGTCTATTTTCGACTTCTGACCATTTTTCTGTATTTCCTACGATGGACAACGTATATCCAAATAAAACTCGAGTCAGGTTCAGTTAACCTACTTCTGAACAATAAAAAATGTTATATAAATTTAATAGTAGTCTCCATTAGCTAAATGTTATTTTCTGTCTCTTATTTTGCATGCTTTTAACATTAAATATAAATCATACCTCACGATCAACTTAAACTTCAATTGCATTTAAATAAAACTTGAGTCAAATTAGCTCTACCTCAGAAAATAAGATTTAAAATTAAAAGAAATTTCCATTAGCCAGATTTACATTAAACTTAGTTCAGGTGTAAAGAAAATATTATTTAAAATTAGAATAAATTTCAACACGCTACATTTCTATCAAACTTAGGTTATGTCCAGGTTAGGTCTGAACCAGGTTGACACAAAATATAATAAATATTATTTAAAATTGGAATAAATTTCAACACGCTTCATTTCTATCAAATTTATGTTATGTCCAGGTTAGGTCTCAACCAAGCTCGCACAAAATATAATAAATTCATCCCTCACATTTTATCCTACGTCTAGTACTTAAAAATTGTATTGTTTCAAACATTTTCCAATGTACAAAATAAATCAATTGTCCTGCTCAGAGAAAATGTTTATTCTAAATTAGAAGATACAGCATTGTAATCAGGATCGTGGACTAACTTGAGGGACTTATAACGATGTCGTGAGGGCAGTAGCAAGCAACAAGGAGCACGTACAGATAAACGAGCCAGTTGATGGTAATTCGACCCGATATAAAATGCAGAACGTTCGGTGAAAGTGGTCGCAAGTTTCATGCCCTTTAACGGGACGCGAGTACTTAGGGAGTGTTTTTATTTTCCGTGTATCTCACGATGGTCCGGCCATAAATGTTCTCGGCTCTTGCCACGGCAAAAAATGTCCACTAGTCCAGTGCTCTCATGATTTTTTAATTGAGTTCCGTGGTCCGGGTAATACGAATTTTTTCTCCCAAAACAAGCACTTCGATATTTCCTCCGCAAAAACTGTCCTTTCAAAACTTCCGAATTTTTCATTAAATAAAGTTCAATATGCATGCCTTCTGAATTCGACGAGCTTTAACCAATTATGAAATAAAGCTGCATTCAGGCTACGAAACGACTACATTAACCGCACAGATAACATTCAAGCATTCCGAAAACCTGGGGTGAGGTATATGAATGTTCAAATTAATTAAACGAAAATCATAAAAGCCACCTGCAAGCTGGAAGAGATTCTCGTTATATCTTGATCACCCCCCAGGTCCATTCAGTTTAACATATTCTTTGCAAAAAGATCCGATCAAATATTCGAGGAACAAAAACCGGATGGAACTAGGTCGAAAATAAATTTTAAGCTTGGAATTTCTTGAACAGGTTATCTTTTATTAATTCGAGAGTGGTGGTGTTTTAACCCATTAAGTCCCGTGACATTTTTTTTTTTAATTTTTAGATGAAATTTTGTATTTCTAGTAATGAGTGTTCATACTATCTTGAAAAGATAGTGAAAAAAATCTGACATATTCAATATACTGTATATAGCAGTGGCATATTTATAGATCACCCAAAATAATTGTTCATAACATTGTTTATATTCAATGTTACTGCATATAAATAAAGTTTTCATTAATCTGGAAATATTTATTTTGTAATTCCAAGTTGCAAAAATGTTAACTTTGTTATTTCGAATTTTATAAATAATTTCTCGCGGCAGTGCAATCATAGAGCATTTTGTAAATTTTCAAAACTTTAAGTGAAGTATAAATTTTATCTGGAAATAACGTCTGATTCAATTTATTCATTCTAAATACTAACTCATATTTATCCCAATCATTAGATACATTTTTTATTAACAAATAAATTGTCCATAACAATTTAGAGTGAGTGATCTATTAACCAGTTAAGTGTGCAATTTAGTTTGAAAAATCTGTCCTTGAACGCGCTATAAAATCAAACAATGAAGTGTATACTCGTTAAATGCAGGCCAAATGCACTTAAAATATATCCTAACGAAAAATTGAAGCGAAACGAAGAAGAATTACATGTTTGTCTCAAAAAATAAATAATCCATTGTTGAAAAAGTTAGCACCATTAAGAGTTTTAAGATGACGTGTATACTCGTCAAACACGGTTAACTGATTAATAGATCACCGGGACTTAATGGGTTTAGAGTATAGTAAGTGAGGATAATCGAGATTCCGGTGCATTAAGTTTACAAGTGAAATAACTTCGGAGCACTTGTGCGAAGAGTGGTCGCCACAAATTTTTGCCGAATTAAAAACGGGAAGTGTTCCATCGAGGAGCTCAGAATAGACGGGGCGGATAGGCGAGTGAGGGCGAGGGGTGGGGTGGAGGGCAAGCGACGAGAAACGATCCTATTGTTGTCGAGGAAGTTCAGGCCGGCGGTAGATTCTCCGCGACGAATGCAATTCCCGAAGTTCTGATTTCCTATTTAACGAACAGCCCTCGAGTTTCGATAATGTGTCTGTTTCTTGCGCGAACTGTGTCACGGGCCGGGCGAAAGGGGCTGGAACGTCTGGGAAACTTGGGGACGATTAAAAACATTAAAGAGCCTCCTGTGGAGGCAGCGAATCTCAATGGACCTTCACTGACACGCTATAACATACGTGTACGCGCGTCTGTGTTAATACGAACCTTTCTGCTTAAACTGAAATGGGGAGGACTTAAGTCGTCATAATAGCGACTTCGAATGGCTTTTAAGTCAATTGAAAACACTGTGCCGAATGCTTAGACTTCTCAAGTTCAAAAGCTTTTGGTATATAAGTTTCATATTTTCAAATAGTTTTCTACGATTTGAGAACGTTTTCTGCGACTCAAAAGAATTTCCTATGATTCACGGAAATTTACTTTGACTTGAATCAATTTTCCTTGAGTTGAAGAGATTCTATTTTACTTAGGTAGATTTGAATTGGTAGAATGAAGTTTCCCTGGAGTTGGGAAGATTTTCTGTGATTTGAAAAGATTTTCTATGAGTTGAGCAGATTTTCTATGACTTAATTACATTTTCCGAAACACTGTAATGTTTTCCACGACTTGAGAATGTTTTCCAAGATTTTCCACGAGTTAAGAAAATTCTCCGTGATTTGAAAAGATTTTCTTTGATTTGAGCAGATATTCTATGAATTAAACAAATTTTCCAAAACTTTATAATACTAATCATGTCTTAATTACATATTCCAAAACACTGTAATGTTTTACACGACTTCAGAGCGTTTCCTAAGATTTTCCACGAGTCAAGAAGATTTTCTGTAACTTGAAATAATTTTTCACGACTTAAGAAACGTTCTATAAATTACAACATTTTTCTATAACAAACTTTTCAAAGCTCTATATAACATCCTGTACATCTCAAGTACATTTTTCAGGCCTCTCTAAGATGTTCCATAACTCAAACAAATTTTCCAAGACTCAATACAATTCTCCATTACTCAAGAACATCTTCCAAGTCTTTACAAGTGTTCCAAGACTGAGAAAGAGTGTCATAACTCTCCACAAGTCCTTCTAAAACCTAAAACGATTTCCACTGACTCCATGATATTTTCCATAACTCGAAAACACTTCCCAATACCCGGTGCCAATAATTTCCAGCCGCGCTAAGGAAATCGTTATCATTTATCGTTGCAGGTCGTGAGAGCCGCGAGCCCGGTTCTCCTCCGCGTAATCGTGCTGGGTGCATTCTTCATATATTGTACGGTAAGTGTTCTCTTTACTTTTTATTATTCTGAGGAATAGCTATCGTCGTCGAAAAATTTCTCCCGTGAAACATCTCCCTGGTAAAGCCACGCGATATTTCTTTTTGAGGAAAACAACAGCGGAGATGAAGCGGGACAAACAACGGACTCGTAACTTTGTCACTGAAATTTAAAGACCGTGCCACGCTGTTGCGTTTCTTGCTTCGGGAAATTGGAACCGGATGGAGGAACGGACGTAACGGTTTTTCCAAAATAGATTTGTCCTCGTAATGGTCAGCCCATAAATTGCCTTCTCTTTCGTGACGTTTTCTTCGGGCCGGCGTGGAATATGTTTTATAGAACGTTGCCCGTGGCGAGAGTGTTTGACAAGGAACTTTTTGCGGACAGGTGAATCGCTCGTGACGGCAAAACTCGCGAGAAAATTAGATTTCCATCGTAGTCGGATGGAAACCCGTCGAATTACAAGGAACTAACGGAAATCAATTTCCTTTTGTTTCAGACCATTGTAATGTACCCCCGACCGAACGTCATCACGTGCACGGTGCGAGTCTGGCTACGAGAAATTGGATTTTCACTCACTTACGGCGCGCTGATGCTCAAAACCTGGCGGTGAGTAAGAAGAACTTCTCACCGAACGATATTTAACTTGATATCCAGCCGTCAGCTGCTTGTATATGTCTGTGGCACAAATGAAACTCCCTCGGGAAGTCTCTTACCGTAGGCTGTTCAAACGCTGCTAGGGAAAGAAATTTCGGTAAACCCAGGCACGAGGAAGCTTTTGTTGATCTTGGTCATTTTTAATGGAATTCGGGGCTTACTTAAACATTTCACTTGTTTTTTAACGTTGAACTGTTTGATGTTATTCTTCGTGAAACTTCCTCTCTGTCTTAATAGTTTCTCAGTTATTCTGTTTAGTTTTCTGCGAGTCTAAAATATTTCTCATGTATGTCTAACAGGATTTTAAGAGCTTAATACACTTTCCCATGACTCGGGAAACTCGATTTCTCCGAGAAAACCTTTTCTTGAATTCATAAGATTTTCCATGATTCTATCGAATTTTTCATGACTCTACATTTTCCATTAGTGAATCAAATTTTTCACGAGTCCGTAAAATTTTCCGTAATCCCATAAAGTTTTCCATGACACTATAAATTTTTCCATGACTTTGTAACGTTTTCCATTAGTCAATCAAATTTTTCACGAATCCGTAAAATTTTTCGTGACTCCATAAAGTTTTCCGCGGCTTTGTAAAATTTTTCACGAATCTATCAATGTTCCCAATGCACGATAAAATTATTCATGAATTTATAAAATGTTTTACGAGTATATAGAATATTTTCCATGATTTAGGTATACTTTGAGCTGCTTCCAAGTGAACAAATAACGTTCCAGAGGAGTTGTGTGGGGAATATATTTCTTGCAATGGAAATGAGAGTGAGCGAGCAGGATGAATAATCGATAGTTTTCGTACGAATTTCTATGAAGAATATTAATCTCCACATTATTGTGAGTTATAATCACGTTTCCCGCAACACCTGCGTAATGAATTCCCACAGAACGTTGGAAATTCACCGAAGTCGACCTCAATTTAATACTCGCGCCGGAAAGTTCGACGGAATGCAACAATTTTTCACTCGAGAAATGAAGATACTTCTGAAACATTCCAGATTAAATTATAATTGTATTTGCGCACCCAACATCCGTCAGTTGCATGAACAGGTTTTGCCGATGGTCATGAATAGGAATTTCATGAACTCCGTACATTTCCTACGATTTTTAAATAGTTTTCGTAACTTCAATATAATTCTCTTGATTTCTGTACAATCTTATAGGAACATTTAATTTTTTCTCCGTGTTATAACTCATAATATTTTTCTATGGCTAGAACTACTTCGCAATTATTTTCATTAATTTTTACAACTGGTAGAATTTTTCTATGACTTAAAACAATTTCTTATGACTCACATCGTGTTTTCAAAACCCAAAACAATAGTTTTCTATGACTCCTGCTTTTCCATGCACCAAAAATTTTTCCTTAACTCATACTACACCCCCACTAATCAAGTCCATTTTCCATTACTCACACTACTTTTACATAACTTCAAATATTTTTCTATGACTCTTGTTTTTCCATAACTCAAAATATTTTTCCTTAACTCATACTACATCCTCACTAATCAAGTCCATGTTCCATGACTCACACTACTTTTACATAACTTCAAATATTTTTCTGTGACTCTTGTTTTTCCATGACTCAAAATATTTTTCCTTAACTCATACAGCGTTCCCATTAATCAAGTCCATTTTCCATGACTCACGCTACATTTCCAAAACTCAAAACAATATTTTTCACAACTGAAAACAATTTTTCTTGATTCCTAATGTATTCTCTCTAACCAGTGTTATTTCTCATCACTCAAGATTCCTGCCTAGAACAGAAAATCAGTTTATCGGTATCGGATAATTTATGATACAAACATCAGGACGACGCTCCTCTTCAATTCTCGCAGCTGAAAGAACACATTTTTATTTGTAAGGAATCAGTTCGATGATTACATAAAGTAGGGAACAAAGGGCTCAAGAAAGCAAGCCACGATCACTCAGTGAAGCTTTATTCGATAACTGGCTTACGAATTCAACGGACGAACCTCGGGTGAACATTTTTTTTCCTCTCGTCGGGATCAACGAGGGTGGGGACCGCATTCGAGGGGAATAAGGGATGAAACCCTTGGCGATCTTTATCCTGGAATTTTCCGAGTACCGGAAATTCTGCAACTGGTCGAAGATAGCAATTTCGCGGAGAGCCAAGGGAAAAAATGGGAAGGGAAGCGGAAGTTATATACTGGTTGACCGGCGATCGCTGGAAAAGTTGTGGTATCGTTCTTGTGTTTCATTCTCTGTTCGTTTCGAGTTGATCCTCGACGGTCTCTCGAAACCTATCGGATGGCACAAGTCTGCCGAGGCAAACAAAAACAGACAGAAAAAATGTTGAACCAGAATTTATCGTGTTCCTTGTGAAAATATATTGGTACATTGTAAACTGTTGTTTCTTAGTGGAACAATTTTCAGAAACAATGTAGGTAGTGTTTCGACGCTGTGAAAATTTTATTTGTATCTTGAAAATAATTGCGACATTTGGGAGAGTTAATTTGAGTTTCGGAAAAGTCAAGTGAGTTTTGGGAAATTACTACGACTCATGGGAAACTAAATAAAATGTTTCACAATTCATGGAAGTATGAGAAGAATTATTTGAATTGTATTTTATAAAATTCCTATAACTCGTTGAAAATTAACCCCTATGACTTATTTCTCAACTGCGATCATCATAACACGTCCTCATTAATAATTTATTGGAAAAAGAGAAAAATTCCATATATATTTTATGTAAAAATTTACTCTATAATATAATAATTGATAACAGAGAAATAATATTTCATTTGAATTTACAAGAACTGAGTAATATTTATATTCGATAAAGTCCGTTTAAAATCTTCACCGCGGCTCTCACACGTTATTGTATGGAAAGGGGTTAATTGACGTATTTCAATATAAATTTAATCTTCTGAAACGTGTTACTGTTTTCGAAGAGTAGTGATATTATTGTTCTGAATTTCGAATGAACTTTTAATTAAAGAGTTACCAGCTGTGATATAACTTTCCCTTTTCATTAATTATTCAATCAAAGGGTGCAAAGAATTCAGACGAGGTCTGAATGTAGCGAACAGTCCCACACCGAGTTTGTAATTTAAAAAGTTGAATTAAGTTGAAGCGTCAGGATGATTCAAAAGTCTTGAGCGGACAAGATTAGTTTGAAAGTCGCGTGGCGTTCGTTACTAAAGGTGTAAGAACTTACAGGTGTATTGAATGGTCGCACGAATGCTATTCTCATTTCAACGTAATTAAAGGCCCATTAATCTTCATCAACTCCCGTTTATTCATATTCTCCTATCGACGAAACATTCACTGGGAAACTTTTGATTCAGTTGAGCTGTTTGTTAAATAGATTCCTCGATTGTCCTCCTTTAACTGTCCAAGAGTATTCCCTGGAAAAGTTTCATTTCTTTACAAACTGGAAAATTAATTTGCGAAAGAACACTCGACGTCGCATTTTAAGTGAATGCTATTAAGAAAGAAACTATAATTTATGTTCTATTTTGATTTAAGTTAATCTCTATGATAGGTGTAGTCTTAATATCGATGCAACTTTTATGTTATGTCTAATTTCAGTCTAAACATAGCCTCAACTCAAGTGGAGATTTGAATCCTAATTTAGAGTTGTATTTCAAGTCTTAACACTAGGTTTACGAACGTTTATCGTGTAGCTTATTCTACTGTTCCTACAAAGATTGACGTTCGTTCATTTGGATCTTAAAGACTGTAAATTTGAAGGGCGGACAACTAAGATATATACTCGTGTAATTGCATCAATTAAAATCGATTTAATCAGTTACAGAATAACATGGATAAAGATCGATATGCGTTAAATTGGCGCGTTCCGTAAACCTAGTGTTAAAATAGATATACTTCCAAGACCAATTAGCAAAGAACCACATTAAGACTTCCATATGAGCTTAGGTGAGGTCCAATTGAAACATTAATTTTCAATCGCATTCCAAGTTCTAAATTATACATAACTCCAAGACCAATTATCAAAGGCCCACATTAGACTTAACTATAAGTTCAGGTTACCTGCAATTGAAACATTAATTTTCAATTTCATCGTATTTCCAGTTCTAAATTATACATAACTACAAGACCATTTATCAAAGACCCACATTAGACTTCAGTATGAGTTTAGGTTAGAATCTAATAGTAATAATAATAAGTTATATTAATTATTATCTTATAATAATAAGTTTGAATAATTGAAACTTCAGTAGAAGTCCAATTCACACTTCACTAGTCCAAATCAAACATCAACAAACATCCACTATAGACTTTTAAAACAGATCCTCTCGAGGCTTTATACGCAGCTCTAATTTAACAGTATTTCAGATAAACCCAGATCCAACCTAACTGTCCAAGCTATACTCGCCACTAAATTAGTCTCCCTGTTTTGCATCCCATGTCACGAAAACCGAGACACCAAGAATTACGCCATCAATTGTATTAATCCCCTTTACCTATACCCTATTATTCCTGCAACCTAGCTACCTCAAGGAGCCTTAACCACAGTAATGTCGCGAGGACTGCCTACGAAGCCAGCAGACTGTTCCTCAAACAACGAGAAAATCCTTCAAGGTTGTCATCTGTGGATATCGACGTTGCGTCGATTGAATCCGCCTGTAAGTTCCGGCGCGTACAACGCGGGAGGCAGGCTATTCAACAGTCTGATGGTCTGATGGAGATTAAGTGCGCCGTCTACTTATCGATGATATCGATTCCCCTTTGCGCTGTGTCGGCAGCTGGAGTAGACGTCGCGCAAAACATTGGCCCGGGATCATTCCTTGAACCGACGATCGTCGATTACACGGACAATACACACGCCATACCGCCATTCAGCTGGTTCGTTTGCCTACTGGATCATGGCTGATACGTGTGCACACAATCTGACCCAGATGGCTGGGCCACTTTGTCTTGAGGCAACTATCGAGCTGGGATAAACAGGAAAATATTGGAATTTAAGGAAAGCCTGATTTCGTATGAGAATTCGAATAGATCGAGGATTAGTTTGCCTTTGATAGGTGTTAGGTAGCTAATCTTCGATTGAGAGGTTGGGGCTGTAGATTGTATTTCATCAATTTACACTAAATGGAATCGAAGAGAAATTTCTTTGATGTTATGAAGATTTTTTAGGATGAATAGAAAAATATTGGATTCAAAGGTAAGCTTGATTTCTTATGAGGATTAAGTTGCCTTTGATAGGAGTTAGGTAGCTACTCTTCGACTGAGAGGTTGGGTCTGTAGGTTGTATTTGAACAATTTATACTAAATGAAATTGAAGAGAAATTCCTTTAATATTATGGAGATTTTTTAGGATGAATAGGAAAATATTGGATTCAAAGGGAAGCTTAATCTCTTATGAGGATTAGTTTGCTTTTGATAGGAGTTAGGTAGCTAATCTTCGACTGAGAGGTTGGGGCTGTATATTGTATGCCATCAATTTACACTAAATGGAATTGAAGAGAAATTCGTTTAATATTATAGAGATTTTTTAGGATGAATAGAAAAATATCGGATTCAAAGGGAAGCTTAATCTCTTATGAGGATTAGTTTGCTTTTGATAGAAGTTAGCTAGCTAAGTATTGACTGAGAGGTTAGATGTGTAATTCACACTAAATGTAATTGAATAGAAATTTCTCTAATGTTATAAGAATTCCAGTATAACCTAAGTGAAAGGATTATCTTATGGAATTTTTCTAAATTCTATAATTTATAGTCATAGTCAATTCTTTTTTATTTCTTCGTAAATTTCATAGTTTAATAGCGTAATTGTTCATCATGTTAACCCTTTTGTCGATATGACTATCATAGGTGTCAGTTTGTGCTCGATTGATTTTTATCAATCTTTTCATTGTTGCATAAAATTTACAGTCTAATGACTTCGATTGTCATTTGTCTATAACTTCTAACTATATCGACGGATAGTGAGAATGATTAAAGTACATGATGGAAGCTGCTAAGGGATGCTGTAACAGTTGGGAATTCTATGACAATAAGGTACGATATCCAGATTGATCCAAAAGCCTTCGAGAATACCGCGACAGCGCTACAACAAGTAGCATCTGGTACATGTGTCTAGAAACTTGCATCCGACTTGTTACTTGGGGTCAGATCGATAGTGTTCGCTGGGTCAGCATACTGAGAAGTCTGACACTGGTTGTCATACTACATAACTACCACCCACGTTGCATATAAGGACCCTGTGACGTGGTCTATTTTTTAAAATACAATTTAGTACTTATGTACAGTACGTTATGCAATTTTCCATTGTTCACAAAAACAGTCCAATGTGACTATGACATATACTCAACCTGGCCTAGACTTAACAACCCTGACAACACTCTAATCATTTAACGTCAGCTTCACTCTTGCCCAAGTCGTTTATGGTGTAATGGTTAAAAAGAATGTGAACTGTATCATCCCAAACTTAAACATAACCCTAACTACTCTAAAATGAACCTAATTATCTAATATTTACCTTCCATTAGAATGAAATCAGATCCAAGCAATTCTTATTTTCTTAATTAATTATAATATAACGATCAATATATACAGAGATAATTAATTATAAATAGTAAAGATAAATAATTACAATACTTTTATTCCCGAGCCAACCGTAATTCTAATCAACAACACCTAAAACTAGTTTTCTTAATTAATTATAATACAACCTTAATAATAACCTAATTAATACATACAGAGATAATTAATGATAAATAATAAAGTTAATTAATTACGATACTTTGATTCCCGACCCAAACCTAACTCTAATCAACGTAACCTAAAACTAGTCACTTAACCTATACTTAATTTCAATTGCACCCTATTTCCAACATAACCTAAAAATCGCTGTCCACCCGAGGATGGCAAAAACGATGGACGAGATCCTCCAATAATAACTCGCCAGCTTATTTCAGTTGACAGTATTGAAATAATTCAGTCGGCCTTCTCGAAAGTGAGATGCAGCTGGGGATGTCATGTAATCCCGAAGTAACCTTTTTATCTATTCAATAGGAACGTATTTGGCGCAGCCGATGACGGCGATTCTGAGGATTAAAGGACAAAGTATAAAACCTGGTTCGCCTTGCATTCGAGGGAAGGGAGTGGGGGAGAAGATGAGGAAAAGGGCGCGTTGCTCTTAATACTAACTCTTTCTCCAGCGTAGCCGGAAGTTGCTCATCCCAGAAAGTTTTCCGGGACAGAACACGGCTCCTTAAGCGGCAGTAAGACTTACTCGGCTTTCATTACGTAAATTCAGCTATGGAACTGGCCTCCTAGTAGGCGCATCCCCCAAACATATCCCCAAAACAATTTTAGAAGACTCTGTCCTCCTATTTAGCTAACGTTTCTGCTGCCACACAGCGTTGTCTTCATTCGAGAGAATGAGTCTCACGGGGATTAATACTTTAGTCTCCTTAACTCTGGACAATGACCTCTGCGACAAATATAAGACCATTCTCCTTTTCCTAGAAAACGGTTGATCTTTGTTGAGCCGTCACGGCTTAATAGAGTCGACGCATGCAGAGACTTAAGCTCTTTACAGCACGGGGCAAAAAACGGCTCTTATTGTTTAGTATTTTAACGGCACATCGCGGCAATACTCATTGGCCTTTTGAAATCAAATCCCAAAACTTTCCTTTTACCCGCATGTGGCAGCCAGCGACGGGTTGTAAATGCATATTTCTGAAGGGCGACCAAACGGTATCCTAAGGACACTCGGTACCTGGGCTTTGCCTGGAATAAATTTGTATCCAAGCTAAAAACATAGTCTCTGCATGTCTTAGGTAGCACCCCACCCTCGTTAGACTAGGCGCGCCAAGGGCGCAGCGACAGTGGAGACAATTCGTTTCGAAAGTCCCTGATTGGGACTTGTCAATTTTGGCGATAACCAATCAGGGTGTTTTCTTAAATTTCGGAGCTGACGATCCGACTCGCAGATCGCCAGCGAGACAGACAACTCAAAACGATCGAACGAAATACATCATACAAGCGCGCTTAGTGTTCAGACATAATTGTACACGCGAGAAATACAGTCCACTAACGAAGAAGCAAGCGGTCTCATTTAATCAGCTGCAAGTAAGGACGCTGCTGTGAACGCCCAACAATCTTATTATAAGCTACGCTTAGCTTGGGCATAACCTAAAAGAAAATCTTTTATTCAAAAGAAGGCAGAAGTTAGACTTTAATCGAAGGATTCCTTTGAACTCTTATATCAAGTTAGACCTAACTTATGACTACATGCTAGGCTCAGGTTCGATCATCTTTACCTCTACTTAATAAATAATTAATTTAAATATAGACTATAATACATCTGATTTATGTTTTACTGATCTAACTCTTAGAATGAAAGTAGGGTCTTACTAAATTTTAAGAAACTCTAATTTTACCTCCTAAACCTAACCCTATTACCTTAGTGTAAATGTAAATTAAATGTAAAAATACATTGTACTAAATGTAATTATGGACTGTCCTTGTCTAGGCTATGAAATCTAAACCTAACCTTAATTTAATCAAACCTATCTGAATATATACATAACCAGAAGGAATAGCAAGACTAGAAGTGAACCGACGATATCGCAGACCTAACCTAAACATAACCTCTGAATGATCGGTGCATTTGCATGCTTTGAAACTCGAAGAACCAAAGGATCTATCGTCCCCAGAACTTTAATACATCCTGTAAGCCGATCCCGTCAACGGGATCTTGTTTCAATTCCCGTTTTTAGTCGACCTCAGCTTTTGATACTGCATCGTGAATCTGAAAGAGGTCTTCGAACAACATAAAGTGCCCTCTTTCACTACCGAGGAATTTTCAATCTTAGGATTTTCAAGATAAACGTGGTTCAGGTGCACCGTCAGTTTTTCAAAGGAAAGACGTTACGGTATTCGACGTTGTTTATTTTAATCGCGAACAATGGTCCAGCCCTTGTCAAGTATAATGGACGTTTCTTTCAGAAAGAACGCGGATTTTCAAGGTAGTTCGTTTAAGAGACACCCGGACGCTTGGTCTGTTGACAGGATATCCGTGATATTCAGAGTGAAGTCGGCGAAAGCGGTGAAAATAACGGACGGCAGCCTGCTGAAGCGGCTGGGTGTCATCGTGATGATATTCAGCGTGTTCCTGAGCATTCGCACCCTCGTCGCGCCGCCGGTGGTGATAGTCGCTCGAACTGCAGACGACCTGAAAGCTTATCTGTGCCGGACGGACTGGTGGGATCACAGCTTTACTACACGTGAGTAGCTTGGGCATATTCTACGATTCAGTGAGCAACGTTTCGCGCGGTCAGAAATTCTGATTACGGCCGGGACTCTTCGAAGTGAACTGGCACACTGTGTATTTCGTTGGAAATGAATATTTATTGTTATTGGTATTTGTTGGATATTAATTGTCAACAAGTGAAGTGGAAATTTGATTTAGATTCCTGGCGGAATTTCGATTATTTCTACTTGTCTGACCACATATACATTAGCTCTACTTGCCTGACCCCATAAACATTAGTTCTACTTATCTGATGCAGTATGTTTCTGCTCTACTTGTTTCATTCAATATGCGTTAGTTCTGCTTGTCTGGCCTAATATGTTCTTGTTCTATTTATCTAATTTAATGCGGTACAATATTATTTATGTAATTAAATGTAGTATTTTTGTTTCTTTCTGACTTAATACGTATCAGTTCTTCTAGTCTCACTCAATACGTTCCTTTCTTATCTGATTCAATATACTTGTCTGACCCAACATCTTCCCGTTCTACTTATCTAGTTTAATATGATACAAGTTTACTTATATTATTAACTATACTATTCTCTTTTCTACCTGACCTAACATATCAGTTTCACTGGTCTGACTCAAAATACGTTCCTCCCCTATTTGCCTGATCACATGTTTACCAGTTCTACTTATCTATTCCATTACGTATACTTCTCTTATCCGCTTCATCCAATCTACTAGTCTAACCCAATACCCACCCGTTCCACTTGTCCAACCAACTATATCCAATTCTACTTGTCCGATCAAAACCGGACTCGTTGCACTTCCCTTCGCAAAATATCACTATCCAACAACTGAGTTCCACTTATCCGACCAATTATACCCAATTCTACTTGTCCGATCAAAACCGGACTCGTTCCACTTCTCCTCGGAAAATATCACTATCCAACCACTGAGGTGCGCTACTGATTCCTCTACAAAAAAATTCACAAGGCGCCTTTCAGAGGCTCAGACCCTTAAACCCACCCCTAGGATTCAAGGATCCTTTCACGGTTGGTTAAACAGCGCTTAAAAGGGGGCCGATCGATCGTCGGCAGTATAATAAATCGACCGACACTCACAAACGACGCAAAACGCGTGCACGGCTGATTTCCTTTCAAACTTGCTCCCCTTTGACCCCGCGTCTGGCTGGAAACCCGGCAACTTCCGGTGCCCATTATCAAAGGAGGACCGAGATTCCTCGGTGGAGCGCGGCGAGAAAGATACAGACGGCTGTCGCACGAACTCCCACGTGATCTCTTTTTCCCCTTTCATCCTGTCAGCCCCCACGGCCGTCGGTGGAATTCTTTGGTCACGGCGGGGACGAAAGAAATAAATGTGAAAGGGAAAATATGAATCCGCCCCGGCGAAACCAGATTCCGGATACACGCGAAGGGCGGGAATTCGGCCCGAGGGGAAAAAGGGCTCGAACAAGAGTTACCATAAAACGACAGGAAACGGGGAAATCTGGAAATTGAATCACGGGAGAGTGATCGAGCGATTTAGGTAGGGTTAATGTTTTACTTTGTCCTCGTGGAAAGATTAGAATTATATATTAATGATTGATGTATTTTTGTATCGTTCTATTGGAGAGTATAGAATGATTTGAATTAGAAAATAATAGCAATAATATATTCTCCTAGTTGCTGTGATATGCTTGCTTTATTGATTCGTTGGAATTTTGTTAAATTCATTTGAATAAATTTCACATTCGAATGAAAGTAAATTCATGTGACTTTGGAAATACCAGGAGATTGACAGTTAAATTAATTTTGTATTATTGTATTTACTAAAGATTAATTATTTAATGTTCGATACAGAATTATGGATTAAGGATTTTATTAATAATTTACGTTTTAAACATCTTTTAGTCTCACGTCAAATATTATTTTACGTTATTTAATACTTAAATTATTCATAGGAGTTAGTTAAGCACCTTTGTAAATTAATTTGCATTATTCCAGAAGGGCTTGTATTTTGTAGTAAAACATTCTTTATGATTCCCAGATGTAAGAGGGAGGTCAATTTAATTATGGTCATGAAAATGTAAACCCCCTGACACGAGACAATCCTCTTTCTACACTTTTAAGACGCCCTTTCATCCTCCTTGTTGTTTGTGTTGCCAACGAGTCAACTCCTGGAATTTCAATGAGCTCCTCCCCCCGAAATTACCGGGAATTCTACTGTGTTTTCACGCTTTTAATGACCGCTCGGAAAATTCTTGGAACCACTTTCCACGGAAGATTCCATCTTCACCGAATTCGGAACGCGTTCCACGACAAATGCTTTCCCTGCAAACAGTCTCCGAACCTTTCCCTTACTCACACGAGGTCAGTAGAATAAGACAATACGACCTACGAGCATTTCTCTAAGTTTGATCAAGAACCCTGCCATTTCCAAACAACTTTTTCTCATTTCCTCTATTTCTCCATGTTCCACATTGAAACTGTTAATTGCACTGCTACAACTTATTTTAATTTATTATTATTTTGTGAAGTTCCATTGTTACCAATTAATTATCTGGTTACACTTTTCATACGTGCCTCAGGTCATCATTTCTCATTTATTTATTCTTCTGTTATATTGTAATTTCTGTTGCAATTATATGCAACGTGTTGTATTTTTCAATTTATTATTTTATTATTTATTATATCGAATGGAGGCAATGAATCAGAGTAATGCAATATTTCTGTCTGACTTTCGATTAACTTTTTCTGCTGTGACCTCATTACGGATTCTATCTTCGTCCTTTGGGGTGTTCTTAATATTCGGATTGCCCCTGACGTTCCTCCTAATCATTCAAACCCAGAACGTACAGCGAGCCGCGTGGTCTGGTCGGAACCACCTAAATCACACCGTATTAGCCGCATAACTTAATTGCACGTGCTCCTTTTTCGAAGCTAATCCTGTAATCTTTCCCTGGAAGTCTTTTACCATACGTTAAAACCTCGACCCTCCTCTGAAATATGTTAATGGTGCTCCAATTACTTCTATCTTTCCTTCCATATTTTACATTCCTTTGAATTCAAAGGTTACTTCGTTCATTTCGTATTTTTGCATACTTTTAACCCAACACTATTTCCACCGAAGGTGTTAAAAGACGCCTCGTGAAATTTTAGTTTGAAATTAGATTCTCGGTTCAATCATTTTTCCTGAATTGAATATTATACATTTCTTATAGTCAATTTTATAATCATTATTGGAAAAGGATTCAAAATATACGACTAAGCTTGGAAAATAATTTTAAGTTAAAATCTCAAAAGGTGTCGTTTAACATCTTCGGTAGAAATTATGTTGGAAAGTCTGTCCACACTTCTGTATATTTAAAATACTGTATACGTTTTTTTAGTATTTTTCTTTCCATTTGTTACACAAAGAAGCTGATTTATTGCTATTTGATATTGCTATTCGAGTTACTGACGAACCGTCTGCTGGCTCGTTCCGCTTGTTTGACGATAAACATGTTGATTCCTCTGGTCTAACCATGTACCCACTTATTCTACTTGACCGATCAAACGTTCGTTTGTACTACTGGTTCGGTCTCGATACCTAATCTACTTCTCCGTTCATGGAATCTCCTGTTCCACTTGTGAGGTTGTATAGTCATCGGCTCTTGTGGTATACTCATTGTGGCAATAGTTTCCGGAATCTGCTGACTTTAATACCATTCGTCGAACAAGTTAATGTATTGCTTACTGGTTCAGACTATTTTTTTGTATACTACTTGTTAGACCAGATATTACCTTGCACTATTTGTTAAATTATATACTACATATACTATATATAATATATGATAAATGATAAATGGCATAACTCAAATTTGTTTAACAAATTATATGAACGAATTTGACACACGTTGTTAGTTGAAAAAAAAGAATTGTATTTATCAGAAAATGTGGGATATATAAGTAAACAAATGCGTAAGCAATTTCTTTCCAAAGTGCTTCAATCAAAATCACATTTGAAGCAACACAGCAGAATTGCTATTTTAATCTGTTTATTATATATATATATAATGTCTCTATCGCATTAAATACTTACCAGTACTACTTACCTGAATAGATATTGTCTTATACTCCTTATCAAACTGTATATTTATCTTATAATACGTGTTACATTAAATATTCCCTAGCAGCTCTTGTCTGACTAGACTTCTTATACTACTTATCAAACCACCTTTTCTACTATTTGTTAAACTAGATATTTCCTTACGTCACTTACATTACATATTGTCTTATACTACTCGCCAAACCAAAGTAACCCTTACGCCACTTGTCTGACCATTCGCCATCTTACACTACTTCTTTCACAAAAGAGTATCTAAATAATTACACAGGTCTCGCCTGACCACATTGCCCATTATACCACTCCACAAATCCCAACATCCTTTACGCAAACTTCTCCGCGACCACATAAAAAAACCATTAGTCTCGTTATTTGCTCTGAACCAGTATCATTATCAATAAAACAACGAATCTCCCCGTTTCCAACCTACATTAAAATACATCCCTATCCCGTATATATCTGCGAAGTCCCATGGCCATAACCATAAAACTCTCTTCCCGTGAACTCACCATCTCGAATCAGAAATAATGTTAGTCACACGATCACGGGTGTCTTCATTTTCGTTCCCCATTTCCCCGGTATGAAAAATTTCTGACTTCGACCGTTCCAGAGAATTCGAGACTTCCGCGCGTTTTGCATTGGACAGCGGCCAAAGGGGAGCAATCCCTCCTCCGGTGAAAGGTTCTATTTGTTAGAACGCTGGCGTTATTCCCAGATGTAAAGCCACGCGGCGGTCCATCACCTTAACCGGCCGCTATTTCTCGAAAAAAATTTGCATTTCACGGCGGATAGGGGATGGTTATCGGTCGGAAATAAATTTATCACCGACGGAAACCGAAGATTCCTGGGCCAGGCCCGATCCGCGGGGAGCGATCGCTCTCTGGATAGATATCCGACCGGGGCGTTCCGAGCAATTAAGGTT